TCTCTCTCTCTCTCTGTACTGTGTGCCTTGACACCACTTCTGTTTTTCCTTTTTCATTTTCTATTCCCTTGTGGCATCGCGTTCGTGGGGTGTGCGTTGTTTGCCCCAAGACACCAACGCCACAGACTCAACAAAAGTAAAACTTCCAAGGTCATATATGGAAAACGGGCAGCCTAAACTCCCGCTCGAATGCTTGCATTTATTTCGTTCTCTCATTCTCTCCCACAATTTCTCTTATTATTATCAATATGTATTTCCACCCTCCACCTCCCTGTGCGTAGTCTACAGATGCATGTAATTCTCTTTGTGCATGCGACGCAGCCTTCCTCACCCACGGAGTGAGTCTCTCTCTCTCTCTCCCTGGAGGCATGGGACGCGTGCAGTCGGTGCGACTGGGCTGTGCGGCTAGTCGTCGATGGTCACCGTGAGCAGCGGCCGTTCCTCGAGGCGCGCAAAGAAACTCTGCATCTCCGCCACCCACGCATCCGCCTGCGCCTTTCGCACCTCCTCATCTGCCTGCCTTGCTCGCTTGTGCCCCGCCGTCGCGTGCGCCTCGGGCTCCCGCGGTCCTTGTCCCGCGTCGCTGGCGGCGTGTACGTTGTCCGGCGACGGGGCGTGGTGGGCGAAGGAGGAGGGGCGGCGCGCCAGCGGCAGTCCCACCACCGCGCCTTCGTGCGTGCCGACCACCACCTCCTCCTCCTCGTCTTCCTCCTCCAGCGCGGTCCACAGCGGCGTGCGTGGGCTCGGCAACGTGTAGCCCGGCCGCATTGACAATTCGCGCGACTCCGTGGGCGGGTCTCTCACAGGCAGCAACGGCGGCATGCGGTGCCAGGGCGTCGGCGTCGGCGTCGGCGTCGCCACCGACAACCGCGCCGCCGGTGACGGCGTGTGCTGCGCGTGCGTCACTGCCATTGCCATCGCCGGGGTGGCGGCGGTGCCGCTGCGTCGGCCCTCCTCGTGGAGGGAGAGACGGCGGCGCACGATCGCCGGGGAGGCGGCGGCGTGGCTCCACTCCGGCGACGGCCGCGGCGCGCGGGTCAGGACCGTTGACGGCGTCCGCGCCTTCGCGGCATGGGCGCCCGCAGGCGCCGCCGTCTCGTCGCGCTCTCCCCACACAATGTCGACGGAGATCTCGCGATTCTGCCGTCCGCCGTTCGTTGGCGGGGGCGAGGCCCGTGCCGTCAGCGTGCTGGGCCGCGGCGTGGAGCTGCTCGTCATCGTCGCGGTGAGCCCATCGCCCAGCGCGGCGTCGCAGCTGCTGCCGCTCCGGTGGCTCGTGTCAGTGCCCTCAGCGACGGCGGTGGCGTGTTTTGGGGCCGCCGCGTGTCGGACCGGCCACGTTCGCCGGCTGACGGTGAGCCCGACGCGCTCCAAGGCGTCCTCGCGTTCCTCCGTCTCTTCGCTGGCGGGGCGGCGGCGCATCGTGCACTGCGGCGGGCGAGTGTGTGCTGCTGGCGCCTCCTCGCCTTGCGGACCCCTCCCGTCCTCTCACTGCTCTACACACGCTACTGTCTTGCTGCGGGCCACAAGCGCCAGAGAGGGAGAGAAAGAAGAAGGCAGCTGGGCATGCGTGTTTGTGTGTGTGTGGTGCGGCGCGGGAGACAAACTGACGCGACGCCTACACACCACCACCACCACCACCAGCAGCAGCAGCAGCAGCAGCGGCGACAACGACAAGGAGAAAAAGGATGTTAACCGCCTAATGAAATTTCACACGCCGAGTGACTTCATTCAGTTGTGTGTATATATATATAATGCATACTTTTTTTTATCTTAGAAAGGACAAAAACAAACACGTTTCCTTTCTTCCTTTTATTAAGGAGGGATATTCGCTTAGTTGCTTGCGAATCCTTCTTCAGAGCCCGCGGCGTCCTCTGCCGCGACCACGGCCACCGCTGCCGCGCCCAGCAGCAACAGGTCCACCACCGCCACGCCGCGGCAGCCCGCCGCCCTCTTCGCCCTCGTAGCGCGGCTTCTTGTGCGGATGCGTCGTCTTCTTTTCCTGCAGTTGCTGCTGCTGGGGCTTTGCGGCGCCTTTGCCGTGGCGGGTCCCGTCCCCGCCGTGCCCGTCGTCCGCGTCCACAGCGGCGGACTCGCGCAGCCGGCGCAGCCCCCCGCGGACGGCCTCCGACCACTTTTCCCCCTCCTCCGCCGGCATGTCAACGTCCACCAGCGCCGTCTTGGCGACGTCGCCGTAGCGGCGCGAGCTGCGCGTGGGGGCAACCTCGCGGAACCCGCGTTGCCGTCGCCGCTCCACCTTTAGGCGATCGCGCCGGTTCGCGTCCTCGCGCAGGTACGCCGCGTAGCAGCTCATGGGGACGAGCATGTTGAGCTGCCGGTCGTCGCGCGCGAGAATTTCCTCCACGCTCAGCGTGAAGTCCTCCGGTGCCACCTGGCGGTACTTGAAGCGGGTCTTGATGGCGCCGCCGTCCAGCGTGGCGTCGTGGTGCAGCTGCCAGTACTCCGTCTCCTTCTTCTCCAGCTCCGCCTGCAGCCGCTGCAGGGTTTCCCCCGTCTTGCCGCTGGCGCCCTGCTCGCCTGCAGTCCCCTGCTTCTGCTGCTGAAGCATGTGCTCGATGCGTTCGCGGCGCCCGCCCCCTGGCGAGCGGTCCGCCTCTGCCGCCTGCAGGACGGCGGAGGGGTACAGCAGCGCCAGCGCGTCGTCCACCTCGGGCACCGCCGCCCGTTTCGCCCGCGCCCGGTCCGTCGGGCTCCCGGTGGTCATCGCCGCCGCCTCCTCCAGCGAGTGGGCCGCGTACCACGCCGGCTCCTCCGCCTCTCCCTCCCCGCGCGGACTGCCGGTGGCGCTGCCGCTCTCGCCGTCCGCCGTCGCCCCGTTGTCGTCGTCGTCGCCGTCGCCGGCCTCCTCCTCCGCCTCCTCAAAGAAGGCGAGTTCCTCCTCGTCGACGTTGTCCTCGTCGTAGTAGGCGTCGTCAAAGATTTGCGCCATCTTCCGGTCGAACTTCTGCGGGTCAAACTCCTCCTCAAGGTCCTTCTCGCTCCAGAGGGCCTGCAGCCGGGCCATCGCCGCTGCCTCTTCGTCGTCGCCGTCGTCCCCTCGCGGGCCCGCCTTTTCCTTCCTGCCACGCAGCCCTCCCTCCTGCCCCCTCGTGATGCCGGCGACGGAGGCGATGAGGGCCCGCTGCGACTCTATCTCGTGCCGCTTCAGCGTCTTGAGCCGCCGCAGCTCCGCCACCTGCTGCTCCCGCAGCTCCTTCATCCGCTCCAGCCTGCGCAGCCGGGCGTCCTTCCGCGAGGACCGGACGCTTTTGCGCAAAATCCCGGCGGCGTTTTCGCCAATGGCGCGCGGAAACGTCTGCACGTGGTCGGCTTCCTCCTCCTGGTGGCGGTAGGCGCGGTCCTGGTAGGCCCGTTCCCACGCCTCGGCATCGGCGTAGAAGCGCTCGTCCGCCTCTGCCTGCGCCAACTCGGCCAGCGCGGCGTAGTGGTTCCCATCCTCCTCCTCCTCATCGTCCTCTTCGTCCGCATGGGAGTCGGCCTCACCGTCTGCGTTCATTTTTGTCAACTTTTGTCGTCGCCGCCTGTTATTCTCCGGTTTCCACAGCTCCCCCACGAAGAAGTCGCGCAGGAAGGACTCATCGGGGTCGTCAGCCGCCGTCGCGCCAGCGCCCGTGTCGCGGATCGCGAAGGCGCCCTCCAGCAACCGCTTCGCCTTCGCGGAAGTCTCCTGCTCGCCCTCCTGCCCCTGCTGCTGCGGGGCGAGAACGGGCTGCACAGCAAACGTCTCCGTGCTCTCCGCGACGCTCTGCAGGAAGCACTCGCGCAGCTGACGCTCCTTGGCGGTTTGCGGCTGAATGCGGCGGTTCCCCTGCTGCTGCTGCTGCGGCGGCGGCGACTCCTGCCCGTTCTCACCGTCGTCCCCGCCAGCGCCCGCGTGGGCCTCAACCCCGCGGCGGTACTCGTCGGCGAGGGTGAACTTCTTCCGCTGCTCCCGCTTCCGCGCGACGGACCGCGCGAAGATCTCCGTGTTCTCCCGCACCTGCTCCTCCGTCGGCGGGAAAAAGGCGGCCTGCGGCCCCAGCGCCGCCTCCTCCGCCTTGCCCTCGCCGTCGGGAGCGGACGCCTCCCCCGGCGGGCGCGGCCCCGCGTGCTGGACGGCCGAGCGACGAATGGCGAGGAACGCCTTGGCGAACGCCAACTCCTTCTCCTCCGTCAGCAGCACGGCCTCGTCGTCCTCGTCGTCCTCCTCGTCCTCCGCCGCGTCGCCGCCGCGGAGCCGTTTGCCGTACTTTTCCGTCAGCTGCTGGAGCTCCTTCCGCCGCTTCACCTCCTCGTACTTCGTGGCGTACTGTTTGTTGATGCGAATGCCGTCGTCGTCGTCGTCCCTGCCGCTGCCGTCGCTGGGGACCGCTTCGTGCGGCGCCGCCGTCATCCGCCGCTTTTGTTCACCGGCGGAGAAGGGGGCGTAGGCGTGCGGGTCGCGGCGCCGCTCCCGCATGGCGGCGGCGGCCATCTGCTGCGCCAACGCCTCCCCGCCCGCGCCGTCATCCTCGTCGTCGGAGGAGGAACTTGCGAAAAGGTCCTTCTTGGGCATTTGTGCCGCCCTCCTTCTCTCTCTCTATATATATGCCTGTGTGTGTGTGTGTGTGCCCCTCGCTTTTGCTCCGCCGCCCAGCCGCTCCTGCAAGCTGCGCCCCGGCACCGAAAAGGAGCACAGACATTGCAGAAACAGAGAGAGAAGACGGCAAAACAACGGCAAAAGAAAAAGCGGCAACTGATGGTGTCAAAGAAAGAAGTGAGGCCTGACACGCGGCAGGGACAGGACAGCGCACAGGCCTCCCTCGCCCTTGCACCTCCACGCAACCCCCTGCACACGCACATCCAACCAGCAACGACAGTAGCAAGTAGAAAGTAGTAGTAGTGGCAACACCCCCCCGTGCGCTACATGCGGGAAGGGGTGTGCGTCTATGTAACAGTCCATCCGAACCACCGCAGACGCTACCCCGAGGCTGACGCCAAGGGTTTTCTCTTTCTTTTCGTTTTTTTTTTCTCTTCCTCTTCCCCCTCTTTTTTTTTCTTGCCTCGTGTGTTAAAGAACTCTAAGAAATACCTCGTTTTGCTTTCTCCACCGCCGCTTCTCGGCGTTCCCGCTGCGTTGCAAACGAACTTGCATGCATCTACCGTGTGCCGCCCCGCCTTTTGTTGTTTTTGTTTTCTTCCTTCTCCTTTTTCTTTTGTCCTTTCTCCGGGGCGAACGAACATCGCGCCCCGCCGCCAGTGACGTGTGTGTGTGTGCGTGTGCGAGCAGGAGCGCGTGCAAACGGGGGGGGAGGGGCCAGACTCGCCGTCCTACTCCCCCCGCAGCCGCACCCAGACGTCCACGTAGAACCCTAGCAGCCTTTCCATGGCCGTAAACTGCACCGCCGTGAAGAGCGGGGAGAGGGAGGCGAGCGACAAGAGCATGAGCTCGACGCTCTCCATGGCGGAGGGGACGGCCCCGGCCTCGCCGCGGCTGCCCCTGTGTGTGCGCCTCTCCTCGGCGCGTGCGACGAGCGCACGAATCGCCGTGTCCCGCGTCGAAAAGCGACGGATGCTGCCGAGCACCATGCTCAACTCGTAGCCGACGAAGCCACCGATGCTGCGCAGCAGCTCCACCACCCGCACCCCGCTGCTCTGCTCCGCCCCAGCCTCAACGCTGAAGCTGCGCCGCAGGAATTGCAAGTACGCCTGCCACGTGAGCGGCACGGCAGGGGCGTCGTCGCAGAACGTCAGCAGGCCCGTGGCATTCAGCACCGCACGGCCGTATAACATGTGGGCGAGCACCGTCAACGGGTGCTGCACAAGGCACTGCGCAACGAGGGCGGAGCAGACGCGGTAGATGATGGCTCGCCAAATAACTCTAACCTCCGCCTCCGCCCGCCTGCGCTCCTCGGCCTCTAGACGACGGCGGAGGCGCTCCTCGAGCTTGCGCTTGTCGAGCGGCTGCGACGCCCGCGCCGCGTGTGCGCCGGGTCCTTCACGTGACACCCTCGCAGCCGCCTCGGCCGCCGCCGCCGCCATCTCTCTGAGCGACACGCGACTGCTGTTCAGGCTGCCCGCCACGCTCCTCACGCCGTCCCCCCGCTCATCCTCGCTCTGCACTTGGCTCGCGGTGTCGTCGTTGTGGTTGGCGGCCCCGCCGCCCCTCGTCCCCCGCCGCGCGTAGCGGCGCAGCAGCAGGTACTCCGTGGCGTCAGCGATGCCCACAATGGCGCGCTGGCAGAGCTGCGAGGCGGCCGGCACGATCAACATCTCCAGCGTCACCCCTGCAAAGCCCACGGCGAGGCCTTTGCTGACGCCGGCGGGGGTGTACCGCAGCGGCCCCGACACCGGCGAGAAGTCGCGCACGCGGGTGAGCAGAATCGGGGTCACGGCGCTGAACGCGACGGGGTCGGTGACCGCGTGGGCGGAGAGGCTCAGCGCCCACCCCAGCGCCTTGCGCCACGCGCGGCGGCTGCGAAGGTTGCGCACCACCAGGTTGGTCTCGAAAAAGACGCGCTCCATCAGGTACTGCTGGGCGACGCCCAAGAGAAAACGTGCGGTGAGGAAGGGGAACGCAAAGCCGGGCGCAAACACCGCGTCCGCGCTGAGGCACAGCAGACGCCGCGCGGTCGCACCAAGATCGCTGAAGTCCAGCAGCGGCAAGGTCTCCGCATCGGTCTGCACCTGGCAGAAGAAGCGGAGGACGGCGACGGGGGCGGCACGCAGCACGTGCATCAGCAGCACCGTCTGCTTCGTGACATCAATGCTGCGCCAGTGCCTCCAGCCTTTTTGCTCACTGCCGTCGGGGCCGCGTTCGCGACGGCCGCCGCTACGACTGCGGTTGCGGTGCGAGCGGGACGCATCCGTCGCACTTCGGTTCGGCACCGGCGGCGGCAGCTCTCCGCTGGTGTACACCGACGCGTTCAGGCTTGTGTTGGCCGACGCCGTGCGGCTGCCGGGCCGACTCGACCGCTGCGTCGGGCGACCCCGCCGCTGCTGCTGCTGCTGCTGCTGCTCCTCCGCGGCGCCGTTGCCGCCCCGCGGGGCACGCTTAATCCGCTTGCGCACGAGCGTCTCGGGGCTGAAGGAGCTCACGGTGACGCAAAGCACGTCGTACAGCAGCCGCGCAACGTTGATGGGGTGCAGCACCTCATTGTAGAGCATCACCCCGCCTCCGCAAACCCGCACGCGCGCCCGCTCGCACTCCCTCCCGCCGGGGTTCTAAACAATCTGCGACGGGAGTCGGTGTGCCGTTACACACGCGTGCGAGTATCGTGCACCGCGTGGGCGGCGATGGCGATGGCGATGGCACTGTCGACGACGATGGGAGTAGTGGCCGCTGCGCAGGCTGCCCCGGTGTGTGATGTGCTGCCGCGGGGGTGGGGGGTGGGTGGGGGAACAAACGCTTCTCCGCCCACAACCCCGCTTCCTACTCTTCCTGAGGCAGACACACACACACGGACTCGGCAAGGGGAAAGGGAAGAGAGGAAGAGTAAGGTAAAAGCCGCCGCCAACGAAGCACGGGCGTGTGCCCGCACGGAAAGGGATGAGCAGGCAGGAAGTGGCTGGCAGAAGCCAGGCAGGAAGTGGCTGGCAGAAGCCAGGCAGGCGCAACCGACAGAATCCATATGCACACGGCATACAGCCCCACCCACTGCCCTGCCCACGTCCAGCGGCAACGACACCTCGTCGCTTGCATTCCCCTTCCACACACAATTTCTTCTTCCCACAGGTTCGTTTTGTTTCGCTTCAACACCCCGCCACCGCCGCGATGGGACTTCCGTTGACGTACGCCCCGTTCAGCGCCGCCACGGCCGACTCCACAAGCACAACATCCCGCGGCAGCTCCATCACCACCACGCCGCCGGCGCCACCCACATCGTAAAGCCCCAAGCGAAGACAACTGTCTGCGCCAACACCAACCGGCAGTGTCCCTGGCGAGGCTCCCTCACCCGTCGGTGCCGTGTCGCAAAAAGACTGCCGCAGCACCGCGGCGGGGCGGAAGACGCTTAACGGCCGCCGCCCAACGAGCTGCTCCAGCATGGAGTTCAGGTGGCACGGCTGCACGCCCAGGTCCACGCCGTACAACACAACGCGTGTAGATGGAGCTGCGGCGTCGCCCTGCCCCTGTCCCTCATGCTGCGTCCTGCCGCCGTTGCTTGCGTCGTTGTAGTTCGCCGCGACGACGCCACGGCCACGGCCTCGATAGGAGGCAAGCTGGCTGTCCAGCGCGGAGAGGAGCTGTTGCTGACGCCGCTCTGCCGCAGTGGGGGTGACAGACCGCGGGGCATCTTCCTCGATGCGGGCTCGTCGCCCTGTGCCGCGCGGCTCCTCGTCCCCCGGCCGGCGCTGCTCCTGCTGACGCTGCGGCCGACGCGAGCCACGCCCGCACGACGACGACGACGACGCGGAGCGGCGACGGTGACGATGTCGTCGATGCGGCGAGGACTCCCGCCGCTGCCGTGTGCGGCGGCGATGCGAGTGATGCTGCGCCTCCTCCCAGTCCCCGCTGGGCGCACTCGTGTCACTCGCGCTGTCGTAGTCCGCGCGAAGGCCGCGGCTGCGTTTGCGACGCCGCTCGTGCCGACTGCTGGGGCGCCGCGTGCCCCCGCTGCTGAGGTGATGCTGCTGGCGCTGGCGGCTGCGATGGTCGTGGGGGCGCCGCCGCTCCTCGTACTCGTCGTGGTCCTCCTCCGCGGCCACGCGTCGGGGGTCGCTGCGCTGCGGCGCCCATCGTCCACCGCCCCTGCCCCGCTCGAGTGGGTCGGAGCCGCGCTTCCCCGCGGACATCAGCTGTCACGGCAGGCGGCTACAATTCCCTCACACCCGCTCCCCTTCCTCTTCCTCTCTCTCTCTCTTTTTTTTTCTTTGCCTTCGTCCTCCTTTTGCAACGACAGGGCACCAGCAAGGCGCCGGGGACAGACGGTTAATATTATTGGGCCTTGCTCTTCCACTGCTGTGCGTGGCGGCTACTCCGTGGTTTCCACGCCCCCGCCTTCCTGTGAATCACGACGACGCCCGTCCCACAACTACACACACAGAGAGACACAAAGAGAGGCGCAAGCGTGTGAGGTGGCAAACAGCCGGCGGCAGGCGCCCAGACGGAACACGAAGAGAGGGATATTTCCACGCAGCACGCGGCAGACACACACACACACGCACGCACAGATATACATATACATAAGTATATATACGCAGAAACAAGGACAGAGAACCACTATTGGTGACAAAAACATGACATTTTTTTTTCTTCGCAAATAAGTCCACAGCAGAGACACACACATATGCAACTATAGTGTTGCAGACAGACAGAGAGATATATATGTAGGGTTAAAAAATAAAATAAAAGAATAAACATTTGTTGTTGTTGTTTTTTTTACGCTTGCGTACAAAGCGATG